TCAGACTCTGACTACAAACAGGACCAGGGGAAAACACAATATAGGGTTTTTCCATCCTGAGAAGTTTGAGGCCATGGCAGAAAGGTTTTCTCCTTGATTCATGTCCAACCTGAATAGGTTCCTGAGAGAAAGCCTCAGAGTAAATTTCTCTCCTTGAAATTCTCTGCTGAAGCTATGATTTCCCCTGCACTCCTCCTTCCAGTATGTGATCTGGGATGACGGAACAGACTGATACGGGCTAGCACATTAATAAAAATGACCTCCGGTTCTATAAGATACAGGAATCAAAGCCCCCTGTTACTGAGATCCTGCAGGTAGACATGGCTGTAGCATCTCTAGCAAGGGATATGATCATTCCCTCAGAAGCAGAGTTCTACCGTAAGGAACCAACAGATAGAAAATTGGAGGCCACTTTCTAGAAAGATTTTGAGCCCTCCTTGGACACCCTCAGAGCATCTCTAACAGCTATCTGCTTTGCAAGGGATCTGTCTTCTGACTGGAGGATCTCAGAACCCTAAAGGACAGAGATCATCCTGAATTTGGCTCCATTTTAAATAAAGTTTCCCAAGCAACAGCATTTGTAGCTGATGCCTCAATGGATGCAATGAAGTTCTCAGCCGGGGTTATGACTTCCAGCTTCATAGCCAGGCACCACCTAATGGCTCTAACCCTGGAAGGTGGATACACACTCTAAGAAGATCCCATGCTCGGCCAGATTTAAAGGTTCACTCTTTTTGGAGGGAACAGCTAGACAAGGTAGTGGCTGACAATGCAGCAGAAGCCAAGCAGTCACTCCCATCATCACTAAGTGTTCTCAGGAGGGAATACAGATCTGCCTTCGGACAAAGGTGCTCCTTTCATCTCTTGTCCTCACAGAGATATCAGTGAAGGGACAACAGATTTTCCAAAGGAAAATCTTGGAGCCAACTTTCATGGAGGAAGCTCTGCATCTCCCAGTACCACTTTATGCCAAAGATTGCACAGGCCTGTGGCCAGGGCTGAAGCTAGGAGGCGGAATTTCCATTTCACAAAGGAATGGTTTGCATCAACCATGAACACATGATGAGCCAGGGATACTCCCTCAAGCTGCAGGCTCCACCTCATCTGCTCTTCATCCAGTCTCCCATCTCCAACGACCCTGTAAAGTGTGATCTGCTCCAGAACAAAATATCTCATCTTCTGGATATTAGAATGATAGCATTCCCTCAGAAGATAGAGTCCCAGAGTTCTATTTCATATTCTTCATTGTTCAGAAATGCAACAGGGCAATCACAGCCATTCTCAACTTAGAAAGTCTCAACAAGTGGAAGGGTATGGTGGGGATTTGTGGTCCCACAAGCCTCCTGGCTTTGTTCTACAGAGGTCCCCTGTGACTTCCTCCCGAATCAGCTGGCTGGAGTCCTCCTTGTCTTCAGAGCCTTTCCCTGCTCTGTGCTTCCTGGTCCATTTTTTCCATGTTGGAGTTATGGCTGCTTTGGTGGGTAGGGGATCCCACATGCCTATGTGACTCATAGCCCCGAGAACTGATTGAGTTAGGGTCAGCTGGCGGGGTGCAGCCTGGGCACAACTTAGCATCTGCTGAGTCCGGTGAGGCTGCCTTACAAATGGAGCACTGCTTGGATTTGACCTGAGCCAAGACTTCTGAGGTTTGCATGTGGCAGGAAGCATTATTAGCGCAGAACACTCCTGTTCAGCCAGTTCTCTGCCCACAGGATCTTTACAAAGATGGTGGTGGTTACAGCCAGACTCAAGTCACAGGTACCCACCTGTACCCTTTCCTAGATGACATCCTGATCAGAGCTCCATCTCAGGCCACAGTGCAAAGAGCCACAACTCAGGCTCTGAATATCCTGGAAGTGCATGGGTTCATCATCAGTCAAGAAAAGTTACTTGATTCCATCGACCAGAATAACTATGGGAGTAGACATAGAAACCTCGATAAAGGTTCTAGAAAAACCCAGGATCTTATCACCATGTTCCAGAGCTGCAGGAGGCCTACCATAGCACTGTGTCTTCAATTGCTAGGACTTCTCACATCATGTATAGGGATCACTCTATGGGCACGATCACACATTAGGAGTCTTCAAGCCTTTATTGTAAAGGTGGGGACCACTCCCCAGAACACATGAAAGATCAAGTGCAGGTTCCAGTGCCAGGGTTCAGCCCCCTAAAATGGTGGTCAGCCCCAGCCAACATTTGCAGAGGCATGCCAGTATGTCTTCCAGATGCTCTACTTCTTACGACTGATGCCAGGCCTCTGGAGCACAGAAGAAATAGCTCACAGCATAAACTTTCTAGAGCTGAGAGTGGTCAAGCTGGCTGGAAAACGGTGTCAGACATGTCTAGAGGAGAGCCGCTTCCTGGTTCAGTCTGACAACACGACCACAGTTGCATATGTGAACAACTAAGGGGGAGCAAGGAGCCCACACTACACATGGAAGCAATGGAAATAATGAGGTGGGCAGGGCAGCTTCTCCTTTCCCTCAATGGGATCTACATAAAGGGGACTTAAACCAAAAGGCAGACTGGCTCATCAGTTGCAGGATCAACAACTCTGATTGGTACCTGAATCGGGAAGCTTTCAACCTCATTTTTCAGATGTTTGGCCACCCTTCAGCCAACCTGTTTGTAAATCATATGAACACAAAGAGACCAAAATACTTCACCAGGGAGATGGACCCCAGATCCATGGGGACCAGATGCTTTATCACAAAGATGGCTGCAGATGGCCTTGCTCTCTTCCCACTCCTAGTGAAGTTGGTCCAGAAAATAAAGTGAAAGCAGGCCACAGAAATACTGATACCTCCCCATTGGCTCAGGAGACCTTGGTTTTCTGACTTGATATTACTGAAAATGGAGCCTCCATTTTAGCTTCCATCAGGACCAGGCATTCTCTCACAAGGTCCTTTTTCTCCACCCAGATCTGACCTAGCTTCAACTGGCAGCCTGGCTATTAAGAGAGAAGAACTTGTATCACTGGGCCTGTCCTCAAAAGTCATAAAGACTGCTTTCATCTGGGAGAATATTGACACAAAGCATATTTCTCTATCTGGTCCAGATTCAGTTGCTGGTGCCAAGAGCAGTGTCAATACCAGAAATCCAGAATCCAACCATTTTGGATTTTCTCCAAAAGGTATCAATAGATGTCTTCAGCCCAGCACCATAGCACGTCAAGTGTCTATTCTTCATAGCATTTGTAGGATCCACTAGCTCTCTAGCAGAAACCCCCCGGTAACCAGATTTCTTAGAGCAGTCTGGCTATCTAGGCCAGCGGACAGACCACTCTTCCCAAAAGGGGACCTACCACCCATGTTGAGAGCCTTGATAAGTCATCCCTTTGAACCTCTGACTTCAAGGCCAGCATTCTACCTGCCCTTCAAAACTTGCTTTCTGATAGCCATCACATCTAGCAGTCAAGTGTCAGAGCTAGCAGCCTTATTTATGAAAGTATGTATTCACGAGAAGTCTGGAATCATTTCTTGCTAAGATGAACTCTTCCTTCCACACTTCCCAAGATGTTGTTCTTCCCTTGTTCTGCCCAAGACCACAGCATCGGACTGAAAAAATGTGACACGCCTTAGATGTCAGGAGAGCTCTCTACCTCAAATCCATGAGAAGGTCAGGAGTCCTATTCATGTCCTTCCATGCAAAATACCAAGGACTCATGAGTTTCCACATTGTCCACTGCTAGATGGATTAGGCTATTCATTGTGGAGGTTTACAAGCCCTTCCTATTCTGGAAGGGATCAAAGTGCAGTCCACAAGAGCCCTAGCAACCTCGTGGAGGGCAGAACAAGCAAGTGCATTCACCTCAGAAATATGCAAAGCGAGCACTTGGTCAACAATTAACACTTCATTATGCACTATAGGGTGGACTTTCTGTCATCCGCAGGGGCCTCCTTTGGCAAGAAGGTGCTGCAGGCAGTGGCTAAGAAATAATATTGCCCTTTGATCAATTCTTTCAAAGTGGGGGTACCTTCTCTGTCTTTCTCCTGGTGACGTCTTCCGTAACTCTTTCTATATCTGTTCACTGCTTGCTACTTCCCATATGTCCCAAATTGTGGGAGATACTGGGCTGATAATTTCCTTTCTGGTAGCAGTGTCTTCCACAATCCTACCTACACTACATGGCTCAAGGGCCAAAGGTCAGATATTATGTGGGATCATTATCGTGGCCATTTTGTCTACTGTACATAGTTTGTTACCTCTGGAGTATTTGTTGTTAATATTGTTATATAAGTCGTTTTCATAGCTTTGGAATAACTCAGCTGGTGGCAACTAGGAGCAAAGAGAGATGGCCAGGATGTGCCAAATCTTTGATTCACCTGTGTGAGCTGCAGAGTGTGGGGGGGGGGAGTAGCCCAGATGTCTGGAATTGTGGGAGACACTGCTAGCAGAAAGGAAATTATCAGTAAGAAATGTTCTGTTCCTCCAATGAGCTTGGATACAGTGGGAGAGCTTCACCACCCGATCAAGACATGGGGTCAGCCCCAACAGAGGCTCCAAGATCTCGTGGTGCCCCTCCCTTGCTCATAGGAGGGACTACCCAACTCAGGACCAGAGGTACGCTTCTCCATGGAGACTGCCTCATTTTCCCTATGACTCTTCACACTGGCATTACTGGGGTCACACCAGGAGTCAAGACAGGCTTTCCCTTTCAGAGAAGAACCTCAAACCCCTCAGAAGCAATCTAAGGAAGAGGAATACCCTGACCAGGAAGAACTGCTCGCCCCAGTGAGGTTATCATTGTTGTCCCCAGATGGGATGGTTGCACCAGCCTCACTGCCACCATCTAATGACTACAGACCCAGGAGCTCCTCAGAAGGATTTCAGATTCATTCCAGACCACCTGGAGGAAGTATAGGATATACCTCATAAGCTACTGAATGTCCACCAGAACGTTGGTACCAGTAAGGTGGCACTGCCAATTAATGAGGCCATTTTAGAACCAGCCAAGATGATCTGGCATACTCATTTAATTCATTCATTTGCCTGTGAAGGTTGCATTGCTGGTTGCTATCACCTCAGCCAGAAGTATAGGTGAGTTGGGGGCTATACGGCTTTCCATAAGGATAAGGTTTCCTTGAGGTTACATCCTAAGTTTATGTCTAAATTAATTGCAGAATTCCATCTGAACCAGGTCATCCACATATGTGTCTTCTATCTGAAGCTCCAGGCCACCAGAGAGGACAGAAAGCTCCACACTCTGGATGTCCATTGCTCTTTAGCCTTCTATCTACAGAGGATGAAATCCTTCAGAAAATGTCCCAAACTGTTTGTCTCCTTTGCTGAATGCATGAGAGGAGAAGTTCTCTCCTCACAGAGACTGTTGAAATGGATATTGGGCTGCATCCTGCTGTGTTATGAGCTCGACCCTTCCTCCTCAAGGCGTGAAGGCTCACTTGACTAGAGCACAGGCTGCAATGGTAGCTTCATTTTGAAATGTTCCTCTCCTAGAAATTTGCAGTGCAGCACAGCAGCAATGTGGGGCTGCATTCATACATTTGAGAGACATTACACTTTGGTTTAGGCCTCTTCGGCAGAGCGGTCCTTCATTCTGTGGTACAACAGAGTTCCTTGTGTCCTCCTCCTTAATGAAAATTGCTTGAGAGTCACTTCAAATGGAAAACCATAGGGACCATCACTCAAAGAAGAAAAGAGAGTTACTTACTTTGTACAGTATCTGGACTTCTTCGAGATGTATGATTCCTGTCTGTATTTCACTACCCACCCTCCTTCCCTTCTGCTGCAGAGCCTTATCCTATGGCTATTTGTGGTAGAGGTGGTCAGCCTGCTCCACCCCTTATGCCCTTGGTTGGGAGCACAAGGAGAAGTAACATCCTGTACCTACTATTCCAATCCCGGCCCTATACTAAGCAGTGACTGCTTTAGTAATGCAGACATTGCTTTTGGGGGTTCAGTGTCAATGTCTGCATATTAATGCATTTTAACTTATGCATACATGCACAAGCTTGACCTACAATACATTTTTGAGAAGTCCTGTGTCTTGGCTCTATACCAGTAGCATACTACATTTATGTAAGTTATGAAAGTCATAGTTTTACGGAATATGAACAAAATTTTGTGAATAAAACATTGTGTTGCATTAATGTCTAAGTGAAAACTGAGTGTTAAAAACAAAATATTTTTCAGTTGCTAAGAAGTTTGCAAGTGTCTATGGGTTAATGCGCTTATCTGTGGGAGACGCTATAAGACTAGTGTTAAATAATCAGCCAGAGAGCGAGTTGGCACTTATGTTAAAGTGGCATCTTCATAAAGGACTGACTGCACCTGATGAACTGGCCATCCAGGCTCTAGAAGTGGCTCTGATGGATCATGTGTGCAGCACTGCTGGGTAAGAGGTTTGTCTGTTTGTTTTTGTAAGATAACATTCTTTTCATAAGGATTGATTTGCATAACCATAATGAAACAAGTGGTTTCACTAAAACGTGTCAATGGAACCAAACATTTGTCTGTTAAGAAGTTACCCTTTGGTCCTGTCCACAGCATGATTTTCTACAATTCTCAAGTAAGAATATTTCACTTTCCTCCTTTACCTTTAATATTTCACATTTTCTGAAAGATATTTTTTCAACCAAAATGACAGTATTTCATTGTACACTGAAAATTCCTGTTTCTTTCTCAATTTTGATGTCTCCCCCAGTCTGAGACATGAGGACTGCACCTCTTACTACAAATACCAGTGGCAACTAAGGCCTGGTCTACACTGGGGGGGGGTGTCGATTTAAGAAACGCAACTTCAGCTACCATAGCTGAAGTCGACATATCTTATTCCGACTTACCTCCCGTCCTCATGGTGTGGGATCGACGGCCGCGGCTCCCCCGTCGACTCCGCTACCGCTGCTCGCTCCGGTGGAGTTCCGGAGTCAACGGGGAGCGAGTTCGGGGATTGATATATCGCGTCTTAACGAGATGTGATATATCGATCCCCAATAAATCGATCGCTACCCACCGATACGGCGGGTAGTCTGGACGTACCCTCAGACTTATCCATAGAGCTCTGGGACTCCGCTGTACCTGTTCTGCCCTTGCACAAGTTTTTTTCTCTCTGGTACTGCAGACTGACAGTTCAGTGCTCCCATTTTGTTTTTTTAGGAACAGCCAGCAAATAAAATCTGTCTTCTGTCCCCTAACCTCTATGGAATCCAAATTTCTAGTAGGCTGTCCCCAGAATGGAACTGCCTGCCAAGCTGACCAAAGTTAAGAATCATCCTACTTCTTTATCTCTCCCGCAAGCTTCAGCTCCTCTCCCAAAGAAGGGTAATTCTCACAGGACAGGACAACACCTAATTGATCGCTGACATGCAGTGTTGAGCTTTGTGATCAGGATTGCATAAGTTTCCCTTGATGTGAAGGTGTTGAAATGTTTAGGTGTATTTTGCCCCCCCAATGCCAAATATAGATTAGGCAGACCTTGAGTTAAGGTAGCAGTTGTTGATTTAGATGTTATCTCTTTGGAACCTAATCCTGCTCCAGTCAAATTGCTAATTATGTAGAGGACCAGTGGGGATTGTGGATCGCTATAAATAAGTAGATAAGATCTCATCATTTAAAACTCAACTTTAAATGACTCTGAACTGTCAAGTTGTGCACGGCACCAGGCTATGTAACCATGTGTTCCTACACTTTTATGCTTGGCCTACCTCCTCCACTCCCTCCAATTTTGGTTACATCCACTTCTTATATTTTGTATTACATTTTATTGTAAACTCTGGGATGGAGGGTGTGTCTTCCTATAGGTTTGTACAACCCCTCACTCAATGGGACTTGGATCTTGATTGGGGTCTCTGGACAGTACTGTAATACTGCTGCTAATTGTTATTAATAATAGCAAATCTCTTGTGCACTTACTTGAGGGGGCAGGACCACACCCTTGGTATCTTTTTTTGCTGTAATTAAAAATACGTTCTTGCTATTTACTGTTTAGTCTTAATGGTAAATTAGGAACTGACAGGTTTTTTTAAACCTGTATTCATGTTTCTGTTTTCACACAGAGTTGTTATTGATGGGTATCCTGTAACAAGAAAACAAGTAAGCATCTTGGAAGCAATGAGAATAATTCCAGTGAAAATCTTTGAGTTACAAGTGGATGCAAAGGAGCTTTTTAGAAGAGCACTGATAGACAAGGAAAGCACTGACAGGTAGCAATGCTAACAAAGAGTGATGATTTTAGCCATGTAAATCTTATCATCTCTCTCAAGTATCGATTTAAGTACTCATATGTCCCTCATCAAAATAATATCTGAGTACTGCTGAAAGTGACTACCAAAAACTGTATTTGCTAGCCTTGCTACTGGATTTTATTATTCACCCACAAAAGAGTTATTAGTGTCAGTGAAACTGATACTTAACTGACTCTAACATTATCTGTCTCTTTTCCTTGAGTAAGAGTTCTAATTGTAGGCCTTTTTAAAGGTCAGGAGTAATGTTTCATTTCTCCAAAGTACAGTGCACAAATTATTTATCTAAACCAGTGTTTCTCAACTTATTACACATTGTAGGCCCACAATGCGTAACCTGGGCCACAGGGGCCAGGTGGCAGGGCAGTGGCAGCCTGGACTCCACCCCCCCCGCCCTGTGGGCCAGCGACCCTGGGAGCCGGGTGGTTACCCTGATCCCGGAACTCACATAAGGTTGCCAACTTTCTAATCGCACAAACCCAAACACCCTTGCCCCACCCCCTGCCCCGCCCCTTCCCTAAGGCTCCTAGGCCAATGGGAACTGCAGAGTCAGTGCTCAGGGAGGACAGAGACCCCCTGCCCCCTCCCAGGGGCCGCGAAACATGCTGGCCACTTCTGGGAGCGGTGTGGGGCCACGGCAGGCAGGGAGCCTCCACTTGATTCCTCAGAATTGTGTAATGATAAGAACGAAAGACAATTTTTTCTGTATTAATGACAATACGATTCTTGATAACAGAGCTGTATTTCCTCAACAGTGCTCTATAGTTTCAATAAGCATAATTAAAAAAATATTGATAGTGAACTCTAATGTATAAATTTTGACATTCAATCAGATAATCATCATCAGGGAAAATATATATTTTGTATGTTTTTGATTCTTCTTATGTCAACGCTGTTTCTTAAATCATTGCTATTTTTTATTTTCTTCAGTCCACCTTATCCTATACATGACAGCTCACAGATTCTAGCTATTCAGAACTCCTGCTATAAAAAGCAAATTGATGCTATTAGGACTTACTATGAGAAGGAACATCAGAACTGGTGTGTGGTTGATGCATTCCGCAGCAAGTGGTGGGTCTGGAACAAAATATTTGAGGAAGTTCAGGTGATCATTAAACAGATCCAGACATATTTGGAAAGAATAAGAGAAGGTAAAAGAAGAATTGCTGTTTAAAAATAGTGCTTGCTGCTTTGTAATTGTAATTTAAGGAACCCATTGTGTCACATTTAGATTCAATTTTAATTTGCTTCAAATTATCCAAAGCAATAAAGCCCAGGCAAAAACATTTTAAGCTGGATTTAAGTTTCAGAGCACATTTTAGTTACTTAGTAGTAATAAAAGTCTTACAAGAAAATAGTACTTATAAAAAAATCGAATATCTTGACTACACTGGGAAAATGCATCATGTCAGAAACTAATGTTATCTAATGTGATGCAAAACACAACTTGCATAGATAGAGGCTGAACATGTTAGTTGGTCATGGTTAATGCTATCGGTTTTAAACATGAGTCTCTTGTCTACACCATTTTACATTACGTTAACAAAGAACTTGTCTACATGGTGAAGTAATGCACTCTACAGGGGTGTATTTCTAAAGCCTACTAATGAGTTATGCATTAATTGGTCCATGTAGATCCTGCTGGTGCACACTAAAAGTTCCCTAGTGCGCTTTAACACGCATAACACTATGTTAAAGCGCTCTAGGGGACGAGGTAAGCAGTCATGGAGTAAGAGGAAATGGCCTCCCATGGATCAGTAACTGGTTAAGAGATTGGAAACAAAGGGTAGGAATAAATGGCCAGTTTTCACAATGGAAAGAGCTAAATAGCGGGGTCCCCCAAAGATCTGTATTGGGACTTGTGCTATCCAACATAATCGTAAATGATCTGGAAAAGGAGGTAAACAGTGAGGTGGCAACATTTACAGATGATACTAAATTACTCAAGATAGTTAAGTCCAAAGCTGATTGTGAAGAGTTACAAAAGGGATCTTACAAAACTAGGTGACTGGGCAACAAAATGACTGATGAAATTCAATGTTGATAAGTGCAAAATAATGCACATTGGAAAAAAACATCCCAACTATACATATAAAATGATGGGGTCTAAATTAGCTGTTACCACTCAAAAAAGAGATCTTGGAGTCATCATGGATAATTCTCTGAAAATATCTGCTGACTGCAGCAGCAGTCAAAAAAAGCTAACAGAATATTAGGAACCATTAGGAAAGGGGATCGATAATAAAACAGAAAATATCATAATGCCACTATTTAAATCCATGCAATTCTAGTCATCCCATCTAAAAAAAAGATTTACTAGAGTTGGAACAGGTAAAGAGAAGGGCAACAAAAATGATTAGTTTGGAGTATGGAACAGTTTCCATACGAGGAGAGAATAAAAAGCCTGGGACTGTTCAGTTTCAAAAAGAAGAGACTAAAGGGGGATATGATAGAGATCTATAAAATCATGAATAGTATGGAGAAAATGAATAGGGAAGTGTTATTTATCCCTTCACATAAACAAGAAATAGGGGTAATGAAATTAATAAGCGGCAGGTTTAAAACAAACAGAAGGATGTACTTCTTCTCACATCGCACAGTCAACCTGTGGAACTCTCAGTGGATGTTGTGAAGTATAACTGGGTTCAGAAAAGAATTAGGCAAGTTCGTGATCCATCAATGGCTATTAGCCAAGATGGTCAAGGACGCAAACCCATGTTCCAGGTGTCCCTCCTTAAACCAATGCAATTTAATGTGTGGATGTTCTAAAATCAATATAAACCTGAATTATATCTGTTTAGTTTGCACCTTTAAATTTACTAATGCAAGCTAAACTGCTATTACTGGTTTTAAACTGCTATAAGTGTGTCCACAAAAAGAGTGTGCATCAATTTAAGTAAATAAGTTCTTAAACCACTTTAAGTTAAACTGGTGCATCTTCTCTGTGTAGACAAGCCCTATGATGCATTTTTCCAGTGTAGACAAGGTCTAAGGACTTGTCCCCACCTTGCCACAAACTAAAAGTTTGTGTAGACAAGCCTTAAGAGACCCCCTGTCTCGCCTTGTGACAGATTATCACAGCTGAGGTCAGCAGAGTTGGTTGAGGTGGAGCCCAGTTGATATGAAAGGGAGTTGCAATTAAGATGTTCTCCAGTAGGACTCCTTAGCACCTTTTGGAATTTGCTTCCTCACCCGTCACTCCCTGGTACAAAGTAGCCTGAGTTTGCTGACCTTCAGTTTCCTTCCCAAATCCTCAAAAATTTCCTCTTTAGGTTGTTAGGTAGTGCAGTAGAATCTGTTTGGGGGTTGAAGTTTTGTTTATACTTTTGTGATTGCCAGAGTATTGTATAGTGGGAGGCACTGGAAGAGACCTTTTACTCTACTTATATATTTGAAATACTTATTAAGGATGCTCAGCCTACGACTGATGCTTTGTTTTATAAACTGGTATAAATAAAAATACATTTATAAACACAGAAAATTCAGAATTAAGGTTAATCTTACAAGGTTTGTTTTTTGCAGTGTTGTTGTAGCCGTGTTGGTCCCAGGATATTAGAGAGACAAAGTGAATGAGGCAATATCTTTCATTGGACCAACTTGTATTTGTGAAAGAGAGCTACACAGCTTTCAAGCTACACAGACGTCCTGAAGAAGAGCTGTGTAGCTTGAAAATTTGTCCTTCACCTACAGAAGCTGATCCAATAAAAGATAGTACCTCACCTACCATGTCTCTAAGGTTTTGGTTTTTTACCGAGTGTACACTCAACCTTAACAAAATTTTTGTTTGTCTGGGAATTAGTGAGGTTGGAAAGCAAGGAACTAGGAGTCATAGGAAGGCAGGAAAGAGAAGCTTTACTTGGTCCTTGGCTCCTTAGCAGTCCTCTGTGAGTTAGATACCTCAGATTCCTCAGGATCCATAGGTTGATTCCTCTTCTCCTACCAGCTAATAAGGATTCTGTTGCTATCTGCCACTCTGTGAAGGCATTACAGATTCTGCTACTGTGAAGTACAGAAGCATCTTGCATTTTGCCAGAGGATGGAATTTGATAACAAAGTGTCTCTGCAAGTCCTGCCTCCACTCCCTGGCTTCTTCATGGAAGAAGCCTGAGTGGATGGGCGGGGTGAATGGGAGTGCTTACTATTTGGGAGTGTAGTGAGTACATTGATTCTATTGTAGTTTTTAAAGACTGCATGAATACAAAGCATCCATATACAATCTTCACACTTTTATTAAGTTTAAATACATGAATAAATAAATCCATGGACTCTGAGGGGACAATCCCATTTAGAGAAATCTGCTGGCAATAGGGAGGATAAGAGCTGGTGCCTGAGATCCAGGAATACAGAAGCAGAGGCAGATATTTTCTCTTCTTCCAAATGTAACTGAGGTGAGGGGTGTAAGTGGTGAACTAACATAATATGCATTGATTTGCTATTAGTATGAGTACATAACAAATGTTACTTGAATTGGTTTGTTGTTCTGTGGGGACCAAATAGCTATTCTTTGGGGATCAAATACAGTCCTGGCATAAACTGACACATTTTAATTGTTGAGTTATCTTACACCAGGGTTGAGTTTGGCCACAGCTATCCTTGAGGATGGTGGAATGTAAGTTAGAATGCTTGTGGAGGAAAGACATGCTGCCTTATTTTACACCCTCCTTTTGCTTCTCCTGTTACAGCCCTCATATTGACAGCCAAACTTCAATCTTCTAAACTTCAGTCATAACCCAAATAATATTTAATTCCTCTTTAATCTATAATTTGAACATCAGGCTTTTAAAATATAAATTGGATTTTCTTAGATATTTTATTCCAAAAGATCTTGAATAACTCTGTTAGCTAGACCCTCAAGTTTGTTAGACTGGGGTGAATAAATGAGAGTTTTTATCACATTCTAATTTAAACTCATTCTCATTCATGTCAAGAAATCAAATAACAATTGAAATGTTCCTTTGCATCAGAGGAATGAAACAGTACACCTGTAATGCTAAACTACCTCAAAGAAAGCTGACTAATAAATTAATCATAAGTAGGAACCTGCAACATTAGCTATTGTATTTCTTAAGTAATTGCTAAAGAAAAGATTACCAACATAAATTAATAAAATATTTTGCAACCTCTAGTTACTTTAATAATCAAATTATTTATAAAGATTGCCAGTTTGTGATTCTCATCATTGAGTATAAGCGTTCCAGTTCCACAAAGTATATAATCCTCAAAAACTGCAACATTTTGTACTGCATGTGAAAAATGTTTAAATGTTACAAAATAACATTTTATTCTATTATCAACAGGAAAAGCAGCCAGTATTGCTGATTTATGTATCACACCCCAAGAGCTGCAGTCTCGGCTGGGAGAGTTTGGACAATATTGTCCTGTCAGCCTCGCAAAAAAGGGTGAACTGGTTGACTGCTCTGTAACCTCATCATTGCAGTCTGCAGCAGAGTTTCGAGGACACTATTACAAAATGGCTTCACAGGCGGAATTGAATGTGCGTATCCAAGGGGCTCAATGGCCTCAGCAAGGATGGGATAGGATGAAGGGTAGCTTAACTAGGAGCAGGTACTGCACCTGTGAAAAGTAGGGAAGTAGCAGCAAGAAAGAGCAGCAGAGCCAGAATGCAATAAGCCACATCTCGTGTAGCTTGTATGATGTTTATATAATGCTATGTTTCTTTCATAATACAAATGTTTATTTTCTCTTACTACAGGAATTCTTGAATGCACCAGAGTTGTATGTGCCACCATTAGCACCTCATCCTCTTCCCTCACCAGATATGCTACCAAAGAAACTGACAATGGCAGAAGTGAAGGCCTTATTCCCTAAAAAGGCTGAAATGCAAGGATACTGTCCAGTCACTTACCTAGATGGAAAACAAAGGTAAATCCTTACATTTCCCAGAATATTTATTTAAAAAAAAAAAGGACCCTGACAAAGTACTGCTTTTCTCTTTTCAACAGAAACAACAATTACAATTCTTTACATTGTGCCCTTGCAAAACTTTTGTAAAATAAACTTTTGAAACCCACTTGGCTTCGGGCTTCATTATGAACCTGAAACGTTGAAGAGATTACATAAAACATGAAGCGGGCTAAACCAGCATAGATTTGTGTTCCCCAAAAAAACAGAGTTCCTACTCCTGTTTTTCGCTACTGTCTAGTGGGGTCCAGTAGCCTTCCATCCTTCATTCCTTCTGATATTTTCACAGGGCAGCCTGTGAGACTGCTCCAGTCTTTTTCTTCTATGATGGGTGAATGGGCAGCCAGTAGGCCATCTCTCCTCTCCTCAAGATCTATAAGTGTCTTTTAGGGACTGGTGACATGACTGGTCCTTTTGCTTTCTGCAGTAGTGGTAGTTAAAAAGTCTGCTGCTTTAGCTGCTGTTGATGCCACATTAGCCCTCATTCTGAGGCTGAAAGATATCCTACTAATTTGAAATTCTGTTAACATGGGTGTGCTCTGAAGTATTTCTAATGAGCAGAATGAGGCCAGCCAGTAGTGCATCCTCAAGAGGATCAGCTTCTACACACCTCCAGCAGACAAAGCAGGTGGAGAGCAAACAGGTTTGTTATCCCTGCAAAGATCTTTCCTGGAGCTAAGGACCAGACCTACTAACAGGCCCCCTGAAACAAGTAGGGAAGAGAGTTGACCAGATGGCTACCTCTTGAAGACTTTGGGGGATAGATTGGGGGAGATTCTTATACTGTAAGCTCTTTGAGGCTGGGACTGTTTCTTCTTTTGTATCTTGTACAGTGCGAAGCATATTATTGTCACTTAATACATAATAGATAAGGCTAAGATTATGTCATGGAGGTCATGGAATCCGTGACTTCCAGCGTCCTCTGACATTTTCCGCTTCAACCCCGGGCTGGCAGGGCTGTAGCTGTCAGCCAACAGCAGGGTCCCGGAGCTCTCAGCTGCCACAGGCAGCGGGGCCCACTGCAGCTCCCAGCCACTGTGGGGGCAGGGCTGCAGCTCCCAGCCTCTGCAGGCGGTGGGGGGACCCCGGGGCTCTCAGCCACTGTGGGCAGTGGGGGGAGGACCCTGGAACTCCTAGATACCATGGGGGGCAGGACTCCTCCCCCCCCCAGCCACCACATGGGGCCCCCACAGATCCCAGCTGCTGCGGGCGGCAGTGGGAACCTCGGCACTCTCAGCCTCCCTAGTGGCAGGGGGACCATGGATCTCTGAGCCACCAAGGGTGCCTGGGGAACCCAAGAGCAGCAGCAATGGTGGGTGCTGGACCCCCTCCTCCCCATTTTGTCACAGTTATTTCTAGTAAAAGTCAGGGACAGGTCTTCCGTGAATTTTTGGTTATTGCCAGTGACCTATCCCTGACTTTTACTAAAAATAACCATGACAGAATCTTACCCTTAATAATAGATCACATAGGACTCCCTCCCCTACCTTCTCTAAAGATGGCTAAAAATAAGGGTGAGCTTGAGCCTTTTGGAGGGGAGTAGGTCCTGTGAGGAGAGGATCTCTGTAGCCTTATTTTTGATTGTGACAAAACTTGCATGGTTTGAATGGTTTCAACCAAGATTTACTTTGGGTTTTCAAGTTGTTAATTATTCAAAATGGCACCCAAATCTCAGACATTCTAAGAAGATACAAATTGAGCCACCAGTATCACACAGTAAGGCCACAAAGCTCTCCTAAAAAGGTAGCTGGGCATTCACTCATTGTGGGGAAATCCCTGGTTGGGACAGAGCTAGCATAGCCAGCTCTAGACCACCCCTTCTCAGCTTCAAAAATACTCATCCAGAGAAACAGTTCCTGTAGGAGGCTGTTTACAGGCAAGTCTAGAGTAGGGCCCATGTTCCTTATTGAGGCAATGTACCCAATTCAAATTGTGAGCTATGAGCAGTCTGTCAGTCAGTTGTTTTTGTAATTAGTAGAGCTATTAGATCAGAACAGTCCTAATTTTTAATGTATTTAAATAGCACAAGTGATGCTTCATATTCCTTGTAGATATATACTTGTTTCTTATTCTGTCTTTTGAGATACGAAGCCTTGGTACCTGGCACCATTGAGTATGCTGTGGAATATCAAGATAAGCTATATATTTTTGAAAGTGAAGAAAAACTCCAGAAGTTTATGAGGTGAATTTATTAACTTTTATTTTAACTTTTAATCATTTCATATTTTCTGTCTTGAAAGCACTTAACTTCTGTGTCTTAGGTTACCAGAAAAGTACTGGAATCAGAAGCTTCCACATAAACTCCCTCCGATAAAGGAACCAGTTCTACTTACTGCTCTTCCCCTGACTGGATATCTTGAACAGGCTAGTTTTTGCTTCTTTAATTTAAATTAAATTTAAGCTACAATATAGGATCATACTGTTTCTTCTGATTTTTGCTTTTTATTTTAAAATGTATTATTAATCTTGATTTTATTAATAGAAATTCAATAAAGATCATGGTAATATATGTACTTACAGTTAAGGGAGGATACTACTGGTAGTTTAAAAAATGGCAGCTGTTTGAAGCTATTCGGAGATTTGTAATCTTAAAGCAGTCCTGGGGAAGATTAATTAATGGGCAGAATCCAGGTGAGGTGATCAAAGATACATGATAAACTGCAGAACAATGTAATAAAATTTATCCCAAGATTCCTCCATTTATCTTATGGCTCTCTAATTTATCACAGAGTTATACTACTACATACATAGTGTTTTTGTGTAAAATACATATGGAGCTAATATCCATGCCCATTCAATTTGTCAGAGGCCTATGACCATATCATCTGCCCCCTAATCCATCTTTGCATCCACTAATCCATTGTAGGTGGGATGTGCAGGTGGTATAAAGCTGACCTTTGTACTGCTCTAATATTGGTGCTGCTTTGTGCATAGAGAGCGGCTGTAACTTAAGCCAGCCTTTAATGGTGATGGAGGACCAAGGATACAGAAGACATGCATGGTACAGGGCATTCCTGTTTGTTGTTTTCGTTTTTATTGCAGTTGCACTTAGGGGTCTTAATCATAGCATAGTGCTGTTTTGTACAAACACATAACAAAAACATAGATCCTGCTCCCAGAAGCTTGCCTTCTTTTCCATGCTGTGTTGGCAACAAGGAGAGTATGTGACATAAGAATCTCTATTTTGGCTCTGTGGCATTGGAGGATCACTCTTATTCTGGGGTGATCCTCTGAAAGTTAAACTCGGTTCATGAGCTGAGTATGATGATAGTACAGTACAGCATGGAGTAGCTACACTGCACTGGCAGGTCTGGCCATGCATGTTCGTATACATATGTTTGCGCACACTCTCACATAAAACTTACATGGCGTTGCTAACAGTATGGCAACTTGCCATGGGAAAGTGTTATTAAAATAAATACTAAACAGGCATTTTATTTTCTATAACATATGGATGGAAAAGATAACTATTTACTCCTGTTGAAGTCAGTAACAAAACTCCCATTTATTTAGATGCTCAGACACCATGGTATATCAAAACTTATACAGATAGACTTATGTGACAGCAGGATCAGGCCTTTAATGTATTTTTGGTATACTGTGTTCAAGTCCTTGCTACATGGCCTTCTTAAAACAATTTCTATTTCTTCAGGGGATAGCAACTGCTCTAATAAAAGCTATGAATGAAGTGGGCTGTTTAAAGCCAAAGTTTCCGTTCTTAAGTGTAAAAAAAACTGCTCTGCTGTTTGTGGCCTATCATTTAAAAGGTATGGTAAAATGTGCTATAGTAATAGCATTAATTGAATAAATGGAATGAATTCTTTTATATAATATTTTTAGATAAAAATTCAATCACTGACTCATCTGATTTCCCCATTCTTCTGAAGTCTGATTCTTTCAAAAATAAATACTATATATAGCATAGTACATATAAACACGTTTTTGGCAAATATATAGGGCACCAAGGTGAAAGAGGTATTAATAGGCCCCCCCAAAAATATTGTGAGACTCTAATGTTACTTTATCACCGTACTAGGGAAATTCCCCCCCCCCCCCAATTAACTAGTTTTAAAACACAACAAAAAAAATTGCTTTTAAAGCTAGCTGGAGCTATAGTGTAAGTCAGTCTTGGGCAACCTGAACCATTTTTAAAACTGGTTGGAGTCACTGTAATGGATTCAGGTACTGATCCACTAAATTAGATCTAGTTATGATACAAGAAACTGCATCAGTAACTTTCTAGGGAAGGACACAGGTCAAATGTACATGATGATATAATTAGATCTTTTAGCAGCCTTTACCATAGTCAAGTGTTGTTGACCTGCTAGCTTGTTTGTGAGGTCACTGGGGAAAATTTCAAAATGTATGGGTAAGGCTGTGAGTCTGTCACGGAGGTCACAGATTCCGTGACTTTCCAGGACCTCCCATGACTTCCACAGCTGCAGCGGCCAGTGTGGCTGACCCCAGGGTCACCCAAGCAGCTGTCCCCAGGGCCAGCTGCACCAGCTGCTCCTCGGGTGGCCTCAGGCAGCTGGCTCCAGGGCTGCCTGAGCAGCAGCAGTCTCGGGGGTGGCCCTGGAGCATTGGTCCCAGGGGCCACCCCAGAGGTTGTCGGAGCAGCGGTCCCCGGGGGCCTCAGAGCAGTGGGTGGTATGGGGCAGTCAACCCCAGGGTCCCCTGCTGCCCTGAACAGCAGCACTCCAGGGCCCTAGGAGCCGCTAAGATTTAGTCAGGGGTACTTATAGTAATAGTCATGGACAGGTCACGGGTCATGAATTTTTGTTTATTGCCAATGACTTTTACTAAAAATACCCATGACTAAATCTTACCCTTACTTATGGGCTGTTATACTACCTGTATGCTGATGATTTTCAGTTCTGCATCTCATTCTTATTGAACCTACGTTATTTAGGATCTCCTTACTTTTCCAGTAGATAGATAAATACAATCCTTAATGAAAGTTAGCTGACTTAAACTCAGTTCATAGAAGATTGAAGTGATACTTGTTGATAGAATAAAACATCTTTTGGAATTGACAGGTGTAAGGACTGGTTTCGCCACTTAGGGAGTATGCCCAAATGTTGTCTCAGTTGTTCATGTCAGCTTATTATTTGACTCTTCACTGCTCCTGGATACATAGGTGACTAGGGTGGCCTAAAGAACTTTTCATCTGTAGCCAGCCCAGAGAGGGCAAGCTCTCCTCTCCAGTGTATTCAGGAGTCTAACATCTCCCTGGTTTGTGACTGAGCTTTCTATGCAGATATAGGAGGCAGTTCAGTGTTGTTGCTAGGGGACTCTGGGCAAGACCACATCCTTTACTTCCACTCACCAGAAGTCTTGCCTGTGATAGAGTAATATGTTCAGTGGTTCAGCTCTCCCCTGCCTTTTGTTATTTTTAACCTCTTGCTTTACATGGGTTTTTTTGGTTTTTTTAGGTAATGGCAAGTTTATCTTCTCTATCAGGTTCTTCACGTACTTTGTGTCTCTGTGGAGCTTTCAGAGCACTGAGGTCTTCTCTAATAGATTAATTAATAGTTTACTAGTCCCAGTCAGGGAGCCAATCTTGTAAAACTTTCTTGGCCACCTGGATAAAATTCTTCTTGTGCATGGATAACTAGCTTAACCCTAGAAATCCTAGAATCCTAGACATCTATGGTTATCTCCAAAACTGGATAGAATTGCATCTCAAATCTGGGTAAATCTGGTGGTTTGTTTTTTTTTAAGATGTAGTGGTGGTTCCAATGAGAAGTCAAGGACATGTCTTGACCCTCAGGAGTGTGCAGTGAGCTGGAACAACAGAATCCCTGATCAACCACCCATGAGCCTCAAGTGCCACTAGACGCCTTATCACCAGTTCGGAGAGCCCTGTGACTATCATCCCAGAGTGGGACCTGCATTTGGTCTTATAGACTCTTGCTTCATCATTCATCACATGTGCATTCCACTCTTGATGTCTGTGCACCCAGCACATGGGCATTGGAAACTTTTTCCCTCTGTGGTACCCATTTGGTGTCTTGAGCTCCCACTCCTGACACATGCCACTTTGTGAAGGTATGAAGGGCAGAGCCATCCTTAGTCCCCCTCAGTTCCTTCTTACTGCCCACAATTTATGTTGGAACTCTTTTCTATGCTGGAACAATTCTTCTCTCAGCCTTTGTGTAACATAGTGTACATATATTGTTAGTCTAGTTCTTAGTGTTAAAAAAGCAATTTTTTTTGGATTTGTTATTTCCCCATTTGGGGTCTTTCTATTCATGGTACCAAGGTGTGCCCTGGTCACCGGGTGCTTTTTACTCCAGGCCTATGCCAGTTAGCAACCTGTACAATACCTTCCTAGCATGAAGGTACCCATGAACACTGGGGTGCCAGAGTTCAAGCCTAGGATGAAGAAGGATAGGAAGGCCAGGTTGTAATTCCTGCTGATGGAAGTGGTGCTCAGCCCACAGTCAGAGTCATCCCAGTCTGACCCAGTGCTGAGTGCTGCAGCTTCAATGAGAGGTGCAGTTCCTGTGTTAGCAGAATCCCGGCACCATTCTCCCTTGCCTACACTGAGGAAAAAGTACAAGGCTTCCAGGGGAAGAACTCCAGCCTCTAAGTCTGGTAAGATGGTCAAGGAGTTGAATAGAGTACACCTGAACCCTAAGCACTCCTCCAAATGTCTGCCTAAATCAGCACAGTCGGTTCCAGCACCACAAGGGACATTGTCGAGGCCAGAAGAGGCATCATCAACTTCTTCGGCACCGCAACAAAAGACCATCTCAGTGCCAACTACTCCAGAGGTGTTTGCAGTGGCAAGGAACTTTAATTGTCTTTCTGTGCTGGTGTCCCTGTCCTTACAAGAGTCTGGTCCCCCAGCAAAGCTGCCAGTGATTCCAACACCAGTACCGCAGTTGCCCACTTCCCAGACAGGCAGTCTCTCAGTGCCATCCCAGGGGAAGCCTGCTATGATGGCATTACTCTGCCCATCACCTGGCTCATAGCACAAGTCCCCAAAACCAACAGGATAGGCTCTGCCATGGTCAGAGGAAAGGGAATTCTCCTTGTCAGTTCAGGGGTGGTGTCATATGTGTCTCAACCCTGAAGCAGGACCTGCCGGTCTTTGCCCAGATCCTCTCTTCCTACTTACCAGCAATGGCACCTCCCATGGGAATATGGCCAGGATAATGGAGCCCTGCCCCATTTCAGTGGCCATTTTGGAACCCATGGGGGTTTCCCACAACATTCAGCTCTTCTCCACACTGTGTATACTCAATGCTCTCATTTAGAAGCTCCATCTCCAGAGTTTGGTACCGGGCCTGGTACTGAGCATCAGGAAGAGGCTCCAGTGCCAGAGCAACAGCCCGCAGAGGAGATTCTACCTCTCCCACTCTTGGCTTCCTCTTCGTCCTCACCAGATGATGCTGTTTTGTCTGGAACAGCATCGCAAGGTGGATACACCCCATCTCAAGGTACCATGTCGTGGGAAAGCAAAATGGGGGTGGGGGGTTGATGACTCAAATGCCTAGTAGCTAGCGTCGTTACAGCTGCCCTTGCCTTCTGGGCAGCGCAGCCAAGCAGTCCCAGCTGGGCCAGTGTGGAGTAGATACACCCCATAACAAACAATTTCACCTCCTCCTAATGACTTTGAAGTTTATCAGGAGTTGCTAAAGAGAGTGGCTGAAGACTTAGGTGTGTACAGGTCGATGAGGTCAGGGAATCTTCACATCACCTGGTTGACTTTTTATCATTGGTGTTTCCCTCTAAGGTAGCTCTGCAGTAACAAGTTAATAGTAGAGCCTATAAAGGCTCTGTGGCTGGCTCCTTCACTGCCTCCCACCTCAAAAAGGGCAGAAAGAAAACATCATGTGCCTTATCAAGGTTTTGAATACCTCTATACTCACCTGCCACCAGGCTCATTAGTCATGAGAGCAGCTAATGAGAGAGAGTGTGTCAAGGGCATCAGGCTGCCACCCCCAACAAAAAGGACACTAAAAAGATGAATGTATTTGGCAGAAAAAAATATTCAAAGGGGAGTTTGCAGCTGTATATCACTAACCAACAGGTTCTACTGGGAATGTATAATTTTAATTTATGGGGCTCCATGGAAAAGTTCAAAGAGCTACTTCCAAAGAACACAAGACAGGAGTTCTCTTCCCTAGTCAATGAGGGCAGACTAGTCACGAGAACATCACTGCAGGCGGGGCTGGACGCAGCAGACTTGGCAGCTAGAACCATGCCTTCTGCAGTGGCCATGAGTAGATCATCCTGGCTACGGTCTTCTGATCTTCCCTGTGAAGTACAGAGCACTATCTAGGATAGGGATCGGCAACCTTTGGCATGCGGCCCACCACGGTAAGCCCCCTGGTGGGCCAGGCCGGTTTGTTTACTTGCCGCGTCCGAGGTTCGGCCGATCGCAGCTCCCACTGGCTGCGGTTCACTGCTCCAGGCCAACGGGGGCTGTGGGAAGCGGTGGCCAGCACATCCCTCGGCCCCTCGGTTCTCTTTGGGAAATATGGTCACCCTGCTGCTCCCAGCCGCCGTGGGCAGTGGGGGAACCCTCAGGCTCCCAGCCACCATGGTGATGGGGGAAACCATGGAGCCGCAGCAGCAAAAGTCGCAGACAGGTCACGGCTTCTGTGAATTTTTGTTTATTGCCCATGATCTGTCCATGACTTTTACTAAAAATAACCATGACAAAATCTTACTTAGTTAGGCATAGGCCTCCCCATCCTGCTGCCCTAGCTCTGGGCCCCCTCAGGACACCTGGAATTGCAAAGCAGCCATTTTC